GTCTCGGCGGTGAGATATGCCGAACCCCAGCGAAGCCCCGGGTGATGCTGACTTGCTATACCTGGCCAAGGCGGCCCATGATCTCGTATTGCTTGTGGGGCTTGGTACATGCCCAAGCACGGCTTCACGCCCGAGTGCATCGACCAACTCAACTCGAGGCGCTGCAGCGCAAATGCCTGGTCAAGGTCGCGTGGGCATGGCGCAGAACGAACTACACCTGAAGGAGCTGCACATCAAAAGACTTTCGATGTGCCCACTGGCACTCCTCGTTTAGATAGGGTCCAGCTACGACAAAGACCTCAAGGCTCAGCGCAACAGGCGTATCCGTGCGCTCACAACGACGTCATCAGCACTTGATCAGCACCTCTTTCGTGAACTCTAACGCCCAGGCCAAGCTGCTTCGAGACGTGGCTGCTGACAACCATGGCGAAAAAGCCGCCGATAAGCCGAGATCCAGATGGAGGGGGCCAATCCAGTGACCGTCCAAGCCAGTGGACATGGAACCGCGAGTACGGTTGCCGATTGTCCTTCCGCCGGCAACGCGGAGCAGGATTTGTCAGAGCTCAAGGCCTGGATCGGAAGGCAGGCGAGACGTTCAGCCGAACGAGTCGTGGACCAGTGCCGACTCCAACAGAAATATACACACGAGACTGCTAGATGCATCTAGCTTTAACTTGACCCTGTGTCACCGGCCTGTTTGGGTGCGAGGTGACGCCACTGGGCTTGGCTTAGGGCCTTAGGTGGGGACACCTCCACAACTGCAGCGACCAGGCCATTTTGTTGATAAGAGGCTTCCATGGCCGTCGGACTGCCTCTTCATCCTGTACAGCGCATTGAGCTCAACTTATGTACACGTGCCGGCTCGTCGCCATCGAGATGCGCGGCTTACCATTCCAGCTCAACACCATCACCTTCCGCACCCTCTACTCCGAAGAGCTTCGTACCAGAGCCTGCCGCTGGGCAGAATTCTATTCGCTCGCCCAACACGAGGTTATTGGCGGGACGGCCCACGACGTGGCTGTCCACATGAAAGACGATCTGTTTGATAAGACCCTGCAGCACTTTGGTGACTGCAGGTTCTCCCACTTGCTCTGGTTCTCACGCAATCATCCGGGATTATACCCCTACCCCAGGCCAGACGTCTGGGAACCGTGGCACAGCCGTGGCGAGATCCCGTCCGTTTATCGTGATGCTGGACACGAGTTTATACAAATTGCCCTGGCTGATCCCGATATGCACGACTACCTTTCCTCTGAACGAATTTTTGATACATGTAGGCACTCTCAAAAACACAAGGTGGTTAGGTCGGGCGACAGTGGTGCTGATATTTTTGCGCTTGTTGTACTTGGAATGGACACGAAACCAGAAGAAACAGCATACGCTCGCCGGGCTACGCGGAAGATCCCCTCAAGTTCAGCCAAGAGCCTTGAAATATACCAACAGAGGCGGAATTGAACATGTTCTTCAAGCAGGCCTCAAACTCTGGGCACTTCGCTCCGGCAGCCACGAGGGAATTTGGGGTAAAGAACGAATCAAAGTACCGGTTCTCGGCGGCAGCAGCGGCTATCCACTTTCTCAATCAATCCCGGGTGCCACGAGATAGCAGATTCGCAACATTGTGCTCTACGAGGATCGGCCCTCTGTGGCAAGTCCCGAGAGTCAGCCTAGAGGCCTCGCCACCTTCTGTGAGAGAACCAGCGCTCCGCGTCGAGTGTCGGGTTAGCCTTTGGAGAACTGTTTCCTAAGAGGCCTTGTGGGTCATGGCGTCGAAAATGCACTCGGTAGCTGGCTGAAAAACGCGCAGAAAATTAGCCATGGGAGAGGCTGCGCGGCCCGTGGCCGATATGGTCTGCGAGGCATCCCTTTTCCCCGAGCAGGTAACCCTCGAAGGGTGTTGGCTACGAGACCACCTCGCCGCTGCCACCCTTTCACCATCTGTTGGCCGAGAATGTGGAGTCGAGCTATTGGGAAACGTGGCTGGACAAGAATTCGGATGACGACTCGGATAATGATGGCGGCGACGGCCAGTAGTTCAATTGTTGCACTAGTATTTCCGACTGCTAAATATACTGTGTCACCAGCTGATTACGGCACCTACTCATCTGTGTCCCACCTGCCACCAATGTGCGCCCCGGGTACGCGTTCTCTGTTGGGTAGGCGCGGGGATGGTCGGGGACGTCTGGCCGCGCCGCGCCGTGCTCGTGTAGGAGGTTGAGCGCCGCTGCCGCCTCTGCAATTTCTGCTCTGCCCTACACCCCCGGCTTCCGGCCCCAGACACAGCTTTTGGCCCAGCCTGCAGCTGTCCCAGCCGCGCTTTCGTCACTGCGCGTTGAGCTGTCTCCAGCTGTCCGAGTCGCGTTAAAAATCCCGGCAAGGGAATCGGGGTCATGACGTCAGGATGTCCATGCAGAGACGAATGGTCTGATGCGAAGCGAGGATACAGCGGATGCTAAGGACGAAACGGCACCATGACGCGGTGCTTCGCCGACACACAGGACCCCGCTTGGATGGCAGTCATGGGTTCAACATCCGGCTCTTGTTTAATTGTATGGTTCCGTGCGGCATCTCGGGGTTTCGCCCAGCGGGATGATCAATGATATTACATGTTGGCCCCGATGCATCGCGCTCATGGCACGGCCGCAACCTTTCCGGCAACATCGAGCAGCGTCTCGATCATGATTGGCGTGGCAGCTGGAGTGTAGCCCTCGGCATACGGAAGACGCTCTTGCTCTGCGACGGTGAGCGAAGCTGGGGGAAAGTCGGGGGGGACTGCTCACCAAAAAAGATGTTGACCCAGCTTGTTCTCGCTTCGGTTCCGTTTCCAAAAACAATGAGGTAAAACGCCGTCTCAAACAAACTGCTCTGCTGGTCGCCCTCTAGCAGACTGAACTGGGGGTTGATGGCCGCCGACGAGCGAATACGGGCAATGCGAGCCTTGCCCGCCTCAGAAACCGAGATGGTCTCCCCGTCGAAAAACGACTTTGTCTCGTTCCAGATGGTCAGGTTCAGGCTGCTGTTGTCGCCAAAGACGGTGTCGGCCCGGCTGAGACTGGCGTCGTGCTCGATTACTTCACCGCGTTAGCCATTTCCAACAAGCGTCGCGACATGCATACCTCCGTGCTGATCCAGGTTATCAAGGTCAAACGTGTCTGGATTCCCCGTTTTTGACGTGGTCAAGGCGAGCGCCGTCGGCCCCTCAGCCACGGACGGGTCAAGGTTGATCGACGCGCTGAGAGCGCCGATGAGCTCCTCAGACGTGATGTTCCGTCCGGATCGCGGCAGAAACCCATGATTCGCGAGCGAGTTGAGCAGTGGACATGGACTGCGGTCTGCATCATGTGAGTAGCGTCACCGGCCTGACGAGACTGCACTTACGGTCAGAAGATGATGGCGCCCGCCAAGGGTGGTCATCAACCGCAAAGCTCGCAACCGTTGACGCGAGGCAAAGGGCGGCAGGAAGGCTGAGACGCATCGTGACTCGATCTAGGGCGATGTTTATGGCTGCGTTCAGGTTAGGTATTCGAGGGAACCAAGCGTGGGCTGTACTAAGTTATACCCATCGCGACGCGGATTCTGCCGGCATCCCTCACCGTTGTTTGCATACGGCCAGGCTAATTTCTCCCGTGGTACCGATATTAATCGAGGGCCCTGCTGGTTGGCGGCAGATGCAAGTGGTTACCCAGCGGCACCCTGGACACAAACCAAACACGTAAAGGGCGTCAATTTGCTACTGTACTTATAAACCTCAATACCTGTTGGAAACCAGCACTTTGATCAATTGGGTCAATCTTGTTCAATTCGTTGTGTGTTCTTCCTGTGCCTCCCACCCGCTGGAAAAGTAGGTTGGGGCGCCAATTTAGCGTCTGGTGTCACGTGACTAATCTGACAATACCACCCTCAGGACTGTCTCCATTCGGGTGCGCGGAAACTCGCCGTCACCCATCTTCCAAGAGCTCTTTAAATCCCGGCAACCTTGATCAATGGAGAGCTCGTTGCAACTCAGTTGGGGTGGATGTTGACCCAAACTCCCGTCTTTTTAAGCATTTCCACAAATCCCCGCTCGCGAGCGGCAAAGCGCGGGTAGGGAAGTATTTATCCCCCAATGTCTATAGTTGGGAGATTTGGATGGTATACGCATAAAGTACCCGTGTCAACACCAAACTCTGCAACAGTTGAGCTTGTTTTGCCCTACATTCTCAAGCTCATCTTCCACGGGTCCGAATCACTTATTGACGGAGGCTCGAAATGACAGCTTAGGCCACCCAAGTGCAAGCAAGGTAGTACCCGTGAATGTAAAGTACCAAGTTTGAGGAATGGTGTGGGCAGAGAGGCTAGGAGTAGCGCCTTTATGCATATTCCTACTCGTTCAGTACACGGTATCCAAATATGTGTTCGACCAAGTTCAAGTGTCAAACATCCGTGCCTGGGCCGTTATGTTAATACCGGGAGCGAGATGGTGTTTATCACACCGAGAATCGGATGAATTCGCCACCCGAACATGCCATGTGTGCGACGAGGCACCATCACAGACGCTGGGCAGTTATGTCACCGAATGACAACCAAGGCAGCCGGTGGATCAGCATAGATGAGAAATATCCACCATAGCACATCAAACTCGACTACTAACAGGCAGGTCACCAACACTCGAATGCTCACTTGTTATTCAAACCAGTCGGCCCTTCTCAAGACAACGGGTTCACCAATTGCTTTGCCTCAAGGCTTGTTATTCAGTAGTCAGGAGGTTACCCCCCCACAACAGCCTGCACGAGGCAGAGCAGTTTCCACGACATACGTAAGGATCCTGCGTAATAGAGACGCCCGCGGCCAATGGTGGGACTGCAGATCTGCAGGGGGATTTGCGGCTGTGGTGTTTGAGTTTGGGCGGGTATTCGTGACTTGGGTCGGGGGGAGTAAAATGTGGTTTATCTGGGAGGCATCTCGTAATGTTACGGAGCTCAAAAACACGCGCCAAAAAGAGTAGATCGCATTATCTTGGATTGCTCGGATACGGGGAATCGGCCCCCAGGCCCCTGAGTGCTCAATCCCGAGAATGTTGAGAGTCAGAAATGTTACCGGTACACCATACTCGATTAGTGCAGATGAAGAGATTTCATCTGCTACAAGGGTAGTGCGAGCAGTAGGGGGATCAAGTCACGACGGGCAAAGCCATCCATGGATTTGCGCTGCCGCCAATTGAGTGGCTCCTGTGAGGGCCTTGATGGCATCGATTAGTGAGCGGCTGCCATGCACGGGACGTCTGTCTTGCTGGGGCAGAACTACTGCAAGGGGCATGCCACCCGCTCGCTCTCGACCCCATTGGCTTCGCGGGCCGGGCGCGCGTGTTCCGTCTCGGGCTTGCGCATGTTGCAAACCTGGCCCCTCTGGCTTCCCCAGAGCGGGATCCAGGGCCGGTGCAGGGGGTCTGCTATCCCCTTCCAACGTCTGCTGTGCCTCAGCCACTGCCTGCTCCGTCTGCATCTCATCCTCTCAGTGGCTCCGGGTCGACGCCTGCGGGACGGACCGTTCCCGGGCCAATCGGGGCCGCTTGGGCCTTGGCCTCGCAATGCTCTGCATGTCCGCCGGGGACGACGAGATTCACCGAGTCCCGATAGGGGCGGCGCCTGGGCGGAATGCAGCCAATGCCGCAGTGGCATCCGGCTTCTGCGTGCGAGGCCGTGCGAGGCCGTGCGAGGCCGAGCAGGGGTGAGCTGCTCGCGACGTCGGGACTGAGGAAAATAGCGCATCCAGTCTTGCCCTCCAGGAATGCTCCGGCTGATCCTTCTAGGCGTTGCATTTGAGGGATTGCGCGATTTCAGGGGTACTACAAGTTGGCACGCGACACTGGAGTCTGGACAATTGCGAGTTCAAGTTTGAATTGTAACTGTCGGAGAGAATCAAAAATATGTGATGACCCAAAAACATTGACCCCCCCCGTCTCCGCCCAAATGAGTCTCGCGCAACATGCATCGTGATTCGTGATAATGATATGCCCTTTTACCCGTCTCGTCATTCATTCAAACGCCTGAAGCCAATCACAAGAGCCGCCTCGTTGAATCCCAGCCGTGCAAGCAACCTGCCAGTCATTGCTGCGTGTCCTCGTCCTGCTCGAGACTCTCCGAGGGCGCAGGCGTCCGACAGTAGCCGCACGCCCGGCCTGGGATGACCCAGACCTCGGAGCCGTTGGCGGCGCAGGTTGGGCAGCGAACGCCGGGGAGCTGGGGATGTTAGTCTTTGTTTCCGTACGGACGAGAAAACTCACCATCAGCGTCCTGATTCCCTCGCCGGTCGGGACGAAGAGCACGTCTGGGTGCAGTGGGCTGTCAGGCATGAGACTGAAACTGAAATCGAGGTTGACGGCGAGGCCCCGGAGAAGCATGATGGCGGTGTAGAAAGGTGTTGGTTAGTGGTTGCTGGTTGCTAGTTTGCTGGTTGCCTGTTGCTGGTTGTCTGTTGCTGGTTGTCAACGGGTCACTTGACACATAGCAAAGGTTGGACTGAGTTGTATTTATACTAGTGTCGTCTGCGCAACTATGGAGTTTCTCTTCGCTAACGGACTAGGAAATAGCGGGCTCGGCGGATTGGGCCAAATGGAGCAAAGATACTTGCCTCTCGTCTTCATTGGCCTCGAGGCTTGCAACTCGCAATTCGCTGGCAGAGGTATGTTACCTCTGGGCGAGGGGGGAAAGGGACGTGGTTCTGCACTGCAGCGCTAGGGGTTGCGAGCTGTCTGTGCGATCGGCAGTGTAGATAAGATAAGCGGGAATGGTGCCAGGCCAAAGAGGCCTAATCCGTTTCCTGATGCAAATTGCAATAGGTGCGGGAAGTGGGAGCAGTCGAGCAACTGATGCTGTTGGGATTTTATTGCCTCATGGTGTCTGGTATTCCCCAGGTGGGCCTAATCGCCAGGGCTGGGATATCATAGGAGCCGAACGCCCGAACCGACTTACACCGGTGAGGCTCGTGCAGCTTATCGATGTAGACCGGTGGGGGGCCGCTTCTGGCCCGCAGGCCGCCGGTTTTCCCTTTTGGCCCTCGCGTGTCGCTGCCGGCCCTGGAGCAGTGCTGCTGTCTCAGTCTCCTGGCACGCCCTCCGGCCTCTCGACCAGCCTGTGGCCGGCACTTTTGGCCGCGCAGGGCTTGCGAGCCGAGGGCTTGCCGGTGCTCGACGGCGCAATTCGCGAGCGTCTTGCTCCCCGAGCCAGGCCGCGCTTCGGCTGCATGGCAGGATCTACTCTGAGGGGGCCGTGGTGGCCTCGAGCTGCAGCCGGCCGCATATGCCAAGACCGCGACCAGGCGGTCCAAGCTCGCTGCCCGCTGTGACTTGTCTGTTGGTCGAAATAACGGTCGAAACAAAAGACGGGAGTGCGTCGGGCCGTCTGTACCACGTCTGGTGGCGTGCGCAGCGCCCTGGGAGTGGACGGCGGCGAGCTCGACATTGATATCCCGCGCTGGCGGGGACAACATGAACGACAGGTAACTCTGGCCAGATCAGCTGCCCTGCCATGCATCGGCACTTGTTCTTGTGCTGCCGTGACTAATTGCCGCGCCAGTGTCAGCAAGTTTGCTCGCAATGCATCTTGACATCACTCGATCTCGTCATGTCATCCGACACCTCATCCCTCCGCCTCGCCTAGCTCCATGCACAACATCTGCCCGCGAGCCAAACCACGTCGTCGGTTGTAAGGCTTGCTACCCCTGGCGCATTTTGAGTGCTGACCGAGGCAGGTCATGCCGTCTGGGCAGATCGGGATTGGATATGGCATCGGACAGGTACTCGGTTGAAGATAGCCAGTCGACGTCGCAGCGACAGCGGGATCCTCAGAGTCCGAGACATCCATGTCGGTCTGCATCGTTTCACCACCAGGCACAGCGAATGTGGTACCCCCTATCGCTGACGACTTCTCCCGCTTCTGCGCCCCGCGCCGACCGCCTTCCCCACATTGCCGCAATCCTGGTCTAGTCCGACGGTACCAAGCCGTCGGTTCTGGGGTGGCATCTTGTACCTCGGCAACGCTGGCGGGGAGACACGAACTTGATTTCTAGTCTACGGTACGAGGCTCACTGTCTCAGCGTGACCTTGCATGTGTGGCCCTTGGGAAACATGAAAAATCGAAACAGGGGCGCCATCGAGTCATCCGTCACGCCCTCCCCCAGCCTGGCCCCCCGGCACTCCCTGAAAAACAAGGCGACGGCAAGCCGCATCTCCATGACGGCCAGGCGGTTGCCGATGCAGCTACGGGTGCCGACACCCCAAGGTTGGGCTAGGCGGCGCATGCCTTCGGCTGGCTTCTCGAACCGGGTCTCGTCGAAGCTGCGCCAATCAGCAACGGTCGCGTTACACGCAGTACCTGGTCTCGTGGCACACGGCACCAGCGCGCTCGGTACGGAAACTTACCGCTCGGGATCCGGGAACATCTCGTCGTCCCGCACCAGCGTCCACTGCTGGGCCAGCACCTGGGTGTCGCCCGGGATGTGGTAACCGCGCCAGGTGATGCCCTCGGGGGGCGGCAGGCGCAGGATGCCGGGCGCGCCCGGGCTGTACAGGCGCAGGGCCTCGTCGAGCACGTTGTTGAGCAGCGGCAGGCCCTCGAGGTCCTTGTCGGTGAATGCCGGGTCGAGGCGCGCGAGCTCGCGCTCGAGCCGGCGCTGCAGGTCTGGGTGGCGCAGGATGGCCCAGACGGCGTACGTCAGGGCCATGGACGTGGTGTCAGATCCGGCGAGCAGGAACCCGGCCACTTCCGATCGGATCGCGTCGTCGGTCAGCCCAAGGTCCTCCCCCTTTTCTCCCTCGTGCGCCTTTTCCGCCTCGGCGAGCATGTTGCTGAACAGATTCGGGCGGTCGAGCCCGGTCGCGCGGAGGTTCCGCACCGCGAGGGTGCCCTTGTCGGCAATCACCCTGTTCGCATCGACCACGTCGCGCAGCCGCTTCCACGGCAGCACCTTGGCGATCCCATCCAGGATCCCAAACGGCACGAGATCCCTCAGCACGATGTTGATCCCCGCGTTCTGCAGCGCCGCAAAGTACTCGTCCCCGCGCCCAGCGCCCTCGAGCAGATCAAACGACTCGCCAAAGCTTAGGAGGGCAATCACATCGCCCGCCATCAGCCTCCACCAGACCACCAGATCCGCGTCCCCAGCCTCCATCTGCTGCTTGATCCTCCCGACCGCCACCTCGACCCGGCCGCGGATGCGCGCCTCCCAGTTGCGGCGCAGCGCATCGGCCGTCAGCGCGCGCGCAAACAGGCGGCGGCGGGCGGCGTGGGCCTTGGCGTCAGTCATGCTGAAGAGAAAGTGCTCGGGGCCGATGCGCATGCGCTCGTGGAACTGCGTCTTGCGGAAGCCGGCGCCGACGCGGCCGACGGCGTCCCAGAAGGCCGGCTCCGCGATGGCGACCTGGGCGGCGTCGACGCGCACGATGGGGCCGTAGCGGCGGTGGAGCGCGTCGACCCAGAGGATCTTGGTGCCGCGCAGCCGGTGGTACTTGGACGGCAGGCTCGAGAAGCGCGTGTACCACGGCCCCGGGATGGGGGAGAGGGGGTTGAGGAGGCCGGTGAGGATGTACTGCGAGGTTAGACCGTCAGAGCGTGTTTCTGGGTGCATGTGGGATTCGGAGGTACCTTGACGAGGTAGACGGCCAGGAGGGCCGCTCCCGCCGTGTAGATTGTCACGCCTTCTAGCATGGTGATTTGATCTGTTGGCACTTGGGGAAGACTGACAAAATCCAGCGTGGGACCGTGCTGATATACCTCGCGCAGCCTGGGCCTGGTGATCGGCGCCCGGTTCCGCCGGCGTCAGCTTACATTCCAAGGAATCGGGACGCCCAGCCGAACAACCAACAGCAGCCGGATCACACGGTGATTGGGCGCCGCCGCGAAACCGACTTGCGCTGTCAGATCTTGCGGGGATTGGCACCATTTGACGAATTCTTTGCTGACGGCCGTCGGCTGGCTCCTTCCTGTTGTGGAATCAGCTCCTGCCTGTTAATGAGATCCGTGGCGGGATGGAGCTGAGTGGCAGGTGCTACCATCCATGATTGCATGAGAGATGGGAAGCGATGGTCGCGAACTTAACGTGAATTCGCGATTCGCACAACTTCAAGTGATCGTATAGATCATGACATTATATTATTTATCGACGGCCGGGTATCGCGTCGCTGCCGGCTGATCGCCTTCCAGTCTAATGGCCGTCTATAGCCCAACATGTAATCTAAGACCAAACTCCTGAAGCAGACGTCACGACGAGAACTCCTTCCAAATCGGCCAAACCAACGCCATCATAATGCCACCGACAAAGGAAAAACTAGCCGTGGCCGTCCGTGGACAAACCGGACAAAAGAAATCTCCAAGAATTAGTATGTCATGGACATCCTCACCGACCGCCGGCTCAGCGAGCTCCGCTCGGACCCGCGCTCCGACATGGTGTCTGGCGACAGCGAGCTGCCGCTGCCGAACCCAAATTCGTCGAGAGTGGGCTCGTACACCTTGCGCCACCGCTCGGCTTTGAGCAGCCTCCTCCGCAGACTCGTCCGCCGCGGAAACATGAGATCGGCATTGGCGCCGTCCTCCAACAACAACCGCGCAATCTCGGGGTCGGCCTGCTTCGGCGCGCCGCCCTCGACTCGCGCGACAATCATGGCAAACGGCGTGGCCCCCTCGTCGTCGCCCATATCCGAGCTCTTCTTGCCCTCGCGTCCCGGCGCCGTCAACAGCGCGACGACATCCGCACTCCCGCCATCCGCCGCCCAATGCACGGGGGTCCTCCCATGTCCATCCCGTGCCCCAATATCCGCACCACACCGCACCAACACACCGGCGCACGCATAGCTCCCACACGCCAAATGCAGCGCCGTCACCCCCTTGGTAACAACCTTCTCGACCACGCGATCCCTCGTCTCCGCCGTCTTCGGCCTCAGCTTCAGCCCCCGCGCAGAATACGTGCTCAGACTCAACGTCGACAAATTCGTCACACTCAGCGTGCTGTGACTCGTGCCCGGCGGCCCGACCAACAACGAATCCCTCTTCCACTCGGGCCCGGCATTCGCCGCTTCAAACACGGTGCCCACATTCGCCCCACCGTCGGTGAGCAGGCACTGCACCACGTCGGGCCGATCGGCCAGCACCGCCGCATGCAGCGCCGTCATACCCTTCTTGCCCAGCGGGGCATCCACGGCGGCGCCGCGCGACAGCAGCAGCCGGACCACGTCGACCAGCCCCAGCACGCAGGCGGCCCCGAGTACCGAGGTGACCTGGGTGCCGGGGCGCGGAAGGGTCGTGGCGTTGGGGTCTGCGCCGCAGTCGAGCAGGAACGTCAAGAAGGCGAGCTGGGCTTTGGGCTTGGCCGTCGCGTCGAGGGCGCGCACGGCGGCGATTAGCGGCGTGATGCCCGCGGCGGAATGGGTGTTGACGGGCAGGCCGTCGTCGAAGAGGTAGCGGGCGGCGGTGGGGGCGTCGAGGGCGGAGCAGGCGAGGCAGAGCGTAGCCATCTTGGAAGGCGAGGGGGTTGCGGGCGTCGACGAGGTGAAGAGGGAGAAGATGCCGGACGAGCGGCGGCGGAGTTTGGATTTCGGTTTCGAGGACGGGTTCTTGCGGAAGAGGCTGATGGATATCCCCGACGACTTGGAGCGGCTGCGGTAGACTTCGGAGGTGGCGAGGATCTGCATGGCGAGGGCGTCGTCGGCCAAGGATGGGGTGGGGGCCGCGCAGCAGCTGCATTTGTTGCTGTGCATCCAAATGGACGGGGTCGGGGTGGTGAGAGACCGGTTCGATTTGACGAGCTCCCGGCACTCGATCGGCTTCGGGCGGCCCGGCGCGCTCTTCCATCCCATCCGGGCCAGCGCCTCCTCACTCGCGGACCGCGAAAATACCGTGATGGGGTCTGCCGACGGCACGGCACCGTCGCTGGCACACCATGTCTGCTGCTCGACGCAGAGGGTGGATGTGGATGCGCTTTCTGTCATTTTGTGAGAAATCCCCTTTTGTCGAGTGATTGGGATTTCACGACTAAGTGGCCGCCAGAAGAGGCAGGGGAGATGCAAACTCCCGTGAAAGGGACCTCTTTCCAGGTCGGGGATCTGAGCAGTTATCTACCTGCGTGCAGCGTGGGGATGACCCCGTATTTGAGCCGTGGGCTTACACAAAGCCAGCGGATGCACCGTCGAGGCGTGAGTAACACCAGAGGCCAGGGAACGACGGCCAGGAACAAGGCCATCTCATTGGAACAGCGCTGGAAGCTTGGCATACGTGGAAGTTCCCTGCTCTTCTGTTGGCGCCGCGCCACGTCGCGAACACGCGGGATCCTTATCATGTCGCCAATCTCGCTACCGGCTGCTCAGCCATCCCTTTGTGCTGGGACTCAGCCCTGCGTGCTATCGTTTCTTCAGTCACCGCCCAACACTGCCAGAGCCCGATCCAGGCTGCGCTGCGAGCGCGCTGCGAGCGCACTGCGAGCAATAGCTGCCTGGGCATGCCATGGTATGAGTCTTGCTGTGAATCTGCATTTGCGATTGGCACGCCTTACGATAAACAGCAAATAGTCCGCCGTCAGCACCCACCGTCAGCACCACGCTCCCCAACACTATCGATACACGCTCCCCACTAGCCCTTCCAGAGTTGCACTGCACCGCCAATGCACAATTATCTCTTAATTTAGTTGCTGAGGTGGTGCTGCGGGCCTCGGTTGGGCTCCGAGGCTGCCTGGTTGGCGGCGTGGCGTGCCAAGCACAATACGAGATTTCGGGAGTTGCGTGCCTTTCTATGACGCTAGGCCGATTGGGCTCAGATCAGACAGCCACCTCATGGTCACCACGGCAAGCATCCTGGGCGCATCCCGGTGCGCATCCCATCACCACCTGAACTACGCCTGAACCGACCTAAACCAGGCCAGATCGAGCCTCGTCGGCGATGGCCAGTCCCGGCGCCAAAGCCCAGCAGAGCCGCGCCTGGCCCCCACCCCCTGCTGCCCTGAAGTTGGGACCAAGTGCACCATCCGATGTAGCCGGTCGCACCATTCGGGCTTGCAGTCGCAGCTATCACCGTCGACCATCCGTACACTTCAAGTTCACTAGCTACGAACAGTTCCTGGGGCGTGCATGGCGTGCATCAGGTTGGCGGGTCTCGCCGGCCTCTTATCTCGTCGCTGCGGAGCCGATCGCAATACGAGCCTGCACATCGCACCCCTTGGTAGTTTGGGGCGAGCCCGCATGTGGTGGTGGTCTGCACACGATAAATAAGAATGAGACGGCGTCAATCCAGGAGTAGAACGTCTCGCCCATCCCTCGCTGCCAGAGCTGCAGATCCCGAGAGAAATATTGAAGGGCAAAAAGGGGGCCCAGGCGAGCCTAGATCTGCAGCTGAACTCCAGGGGAGAAAAAACAGGGAGTCGCAAGCGCCTTCGGCTGAGCGGCTGACGCCATTGCCAGGGGTCGCGGAGCCGCGGAAAACAAAATATCGAATAATCGATTATTGAGCAGACTTTTCTTTCTTCCTGCGCGGCGAAAAACGAAAAACCAAAGGGGCATGCAAAAATTCAGGACAGACTCTCCCGCCGGGAATTGAACCCGGGTCCCGAGCGGAATCCAAAGATGACAAGCTCATATACTGACCACTATACTACGGAAGATTAACAGGTTCACCTGCTGTAGGGTTGGGGTTTTTGGAAGCCGGGGCTGGAAAACCGCCTGTAACCTGACCGGCGCCATGCCATGTGGATGTGTCGTTTCAGGCCCAATCAGAGCACAAAACTGCCCGAAGCGGGGATAAAAGTCCGAATCTCGCTCCACCCGATAAGAAGTGCCACTTCGGACCTTGTTTCTGCTCCACCAACACGCTTTACTTATCGTGAGATATTCTTAGGTTGTCAAGCCTGTCTCAGCATTCGCAAGCTCCACTGTCTTTCTCTTTTGCGGAATGCAAAACATCAACGCTGTCTGACACAACTTGAACACTTGCTGGGCGGACACTGCGAGTATCTGGCAGTCTCCCCATTTCCCGTCCCGTGCGGCAGGACCCCGGCTGGATTTTGGCTAATTCGTCTGTTCCCCTCCTCATAAAGGGCAATCTATCGAAGGTTCGAGAAGAGTTCTATAATAACTCTAACCACGGTCAGCTGTCCACGTGCCCGGTTGTGCTTCTGTGTCCAGCCCGTATCTACTGCGATCGGTTGATGCGACGAGATAAGGGGTAGTCATGCAGTTAGGCCGATGCCCGGGGCGCTGAAGTCAAAGCGGCCATTTCATCTCCATTTCAATACGGGGCATGCTAGTCCAAATAACTAAACCCGGAGGACGACGCAATCAACAGACCAGAGCCATTACCAAAGCATCAAATTGCAGCCGCCTACGCGTCTTGGTGCCGAAGAAATCTCGACGAGTCTTTAGAAGCGCGCGCCTAGCCGATGGCGCCACCGAAGGTGTTGACTGCAGGCTTCGACACTCCAATCTGTCGCAACTGACAAACATACAAGCAAAAGGGAGATACGCACAGCGTCAAGATAGTCGATAAATGTCTAAACATGCAGGTCATATTGCCGCTGCCGCGATACCAGGTCCTGTGAGCCTACCGTCAAGCTGCCACACAGCAGCGCGGTTTGTCGGCGATGCTTCTATGCAATCGGCTGGTTGGCGCTGCCATGTAGGGGTTGAATGGAAGAATTCAGCCCGTATATTGAACTTATACTCTTCTCCAATAGACACAGCAGCAGCACGGCCTGGCACCCAATAAAAGGGGGGCTTGTTTACCCCGGATTTATCCACCTGTCGTCCAATATGCGGCAGTTCACCCGGGTGCTCGACCACACCGGAGTCCGGCATGCTTCGATTTTGCCCAGAAGTATGTGGATGTGCGATGGGTGGTTATCCTGGAAGGCGGCTAGAATCATCCTGGCAGGGAGTGAGTGTTCCTGGGCGGGTTATAAGGGAGGGGGTACACCATATGCCAGTCTCTTTGGTCTTCTGCAACCTCGACGTTACTCCTGACCTCCTGTCACCGCAGACACCAAGATGAAGGCGACCCTCCTCGCCGGCGCGGCCGCGCTCTTCGCGCAAGAGGCGGCAGCCCAGTTCGCGCAAGCGGCCATGATGCGGTTCCAGTGCAACCAGCTGGTGATTGAGCGACTCGACCCGCTGGTCAACCCGGGGCAGCTGCAGTCGACGCACCTGCACCAGATCGTGGGCGGCAACTCGTTCAACGCGACCATGACGCCCGTCGAGTACGACCCGTCGGCCAAGTCGAGCTGCACCACGTGCACCTTCTCCGAGGACTTTAGCAACTACTGGACGGCCAACATCTACTTCCGCGCGCGCAACGGCAGCTACAAGCGCGTGCCGCAGATGGTCAACCTGGGGCTGCGCGGGTCCGGCGGCGTCACCGTCTACTACATCCCACCCTACGACGGCAAGACCAAGGTGACGGCCTTCAAGCCGGGCTTCCGCATGCTCGTCGGCGACGCCAACCTGCGCGCGAACCGCGGCGTGCAGAAGCAGATCTGCCACCGCTGTGCCCCCAACATCGACCAGAACCCCTTTGGCGGCGCCCCCTGCACGGGCGACGACACCGTCGTCTTCCCCAAGAAGATGTGCGGCGGCGGCATCCGCACGACCATCACCTTCCCGACGTGAGTGCCCTCCCCCCCGTCATCCTCTCTGTCTGAGATACTGACACGGCCAGATGCTGGGACGGCAAGAACATCGACTCGCCCGACCACAAGAGCCACGTCGCGTACCCCAGCAGCGGCAGCTTCGAGTCGACGGGCCCGTGTCCCGCCAGCCACCCCGTGCGGCTGCCGCAGCTCATGTACGAGGTCATGTGGGACACGCGCGAGTTCAACGACAAGGCCATCTGGCCCGAGAGCGGCCAGCCGCTGGTCTACTCGATGGGCGATCCGTGAGTGGCCCTCCCGGTGATACGGACTCGTGGGACAAAACTGACGGTACACAGCACCGGATACGGCCAGCATGGCGACTACGTCTTTGGCTGGAAGGGCGATGCGCTGCAGAAGGCGCTCGATGCCAGGTGCAGTGGCGACCGCTGCACCGCGCTCAAGACGCAGTCGGCCGAGGCGGCTGTGGCGTGCAGCAAGTCGCAGACGGTCAGGGAGGAGACCGAGGGCTGTAAGTTGATCTGATTCTGTGAGGGTGACATGAGCTAATGATTGCAGGGCTTTCGGAGTTGCCTGGCGGCTTGCCCATTACCAGCGCGTAGGGTGTCTGAGGTGTTGTTAGATGAGATAGAGGGGCTTGCTCGGGATGGCAATGTCGAGAAGTGTAAAGATTCAAAATTCTTGTTTTGCAAGCAGTGAAAATTGCTTCAGTGACATTAATGATAGAATCAGGCCATGCAGCTGCACACTTATTGGAATTCTCCCTTTGGGCACAGCTTTGAGATCGAGCCTGTCGTTGCTCTTGGGCAAGAAGAATCTGATAACGGTGAGATTCGAACTCGGACCACGGAATCCAGAGATTGTATCAAGGTTCTTGGCTACGTTACCTGGTTGATGGATGAGTGCAGTCTGTTGATGGGGCCGATGGGGTGATGTGATGGACTCGGGGATATTCTCCTGAAACCCATCCTTATCCGTGGTTATCAGGTGGCATCGAGTTTAGTGTGAACTCGCTTCACTTTAGACCCGACGCGTGGCATTTGATCGGGGCCTCGGCTTCAAGTTAGGTACCGTCATGTCTGCCTGATAGGCAGACTCGACCGCAGTCTTACGTGGCACTTTTTCAATTCAAAGATACAAAAGGTTCAACCCCACAGAAAAAGCCTCGCGAGCCCTGCATCAATATGAAACATACTATCTCTATGCAACCCGAACACGTCACCAAAACCACCACCCAAATCCAAACCGGGCACCATCACCATATCCACACGGCAACACTTTTGAAAACAAAAACAAAATGACCCCCCTCGCCTTCCCCTCCACCCTCACCCCCTTCGCCACCCCCCCGGCATCCTACCTCGCCCTGAACCCAACCGTAACCGACCTAATTGTCAGCGCAACCGTGATCCAGCCGTCCTCACCCCCGCGCGTGCTGCTGATCCAGCGGGCCGCGACCGACGGCTTCCCGCTGCAGTGGGAGACCCCCGGCGGCGGGGTGGAGGCCGACGACGCGACGGTGCTGCACGCGCTGCAGCGCGAGCTGGCCGAGGAGACGGGGCTGGGGCTGCGGCGGGTGGCGGCGCTGCTGGACGACGCGTACGAGTGGGACGAGGGCCGGGCGCGCAAGGTCAGCTTTCTGGTCGAAGGGGATGGGGCCGAGGTCGTGCTGAACCCCGAGGAGCATACCGATTTTGTGTGGGCGACCGAGGGCGAGGTCCGGGGCGGGCGGTGTGAGGGGCGCGTGTTGGATTTTGCGTATCCCGGGGCGAGGGAGTTGGTGTTGGAGGCTTTTGGGGTTTTTGAGGGTTTGGCGGGGGAGAAACTGGAGTCTTAATAAGGGCCTCGGATTTTAAATTTGGTGTTGCATCGATTACTACGGGGCTAACAGCTAAGTCTCTTCGACCAAAATAAGGTATTTTTGTTGCCAGTGCTCTCACCATCATACCGTCTATCAAAGTGCCTTTTGATTCTTGCTGCCACCTCGGCTTATCGTCCTGAATGGCTGCCCCGAAGCATCCTAGACTCAACGGCGTCCCAGTCACCCGGATCTGGGCCTTCATCCTTGCCTAACCCCAGTCGGCGACGCCAGCAGCTAATCTTTTGTTTTCCTTGCCAAGAAAGACTATCGCGCGCTAGCAGATGTGGCGTAAGCTTGATTGAAGCAGGACAGATGAGGAAACGCGGTGACTTTCAGCCGAAGAAGAATCGCCATTCCCCTGCCATCAGCTGGGTCGTGAGTGTCGACCCATCAACATCGCCTCGGTGTGCTTCGATACCCCTCAGTCCACAGCCATCTGTTGCGATTGCAGTTGCACGACAAGCTGAATGATCCGAAATTCCTTTTCTGGGAAAACAGTCGTTCGGCGGCGTCGCATTGCCGATCTCATAGACACTGAAAAAGAAGCCAGCACGCGGAAAACATCACCCTCATCTTGCACAGGAGCGACCGCGATGCCTATCCAGGCGCTTCTCCTGTCTTTGCCGTCTTTGGCAAGCCCCAAGAGAAACCAGACCGTGGCTCGATTCTGCCTCTGAGGGCATTTGCTGCCGGTGGGAAATCTGCCTGGTTTGTGTTGGTTCATCGGCCTAAAACGGAAACGAAAAGATGGGAAGCTCATGATCGGTTCCACGGACATGAAACCCGTGCGCGCCGACCAGCAGCCGGCGAAGCCCCGGGACTTCTAGAACGGCTCGGACGTATCCACAGTATATGTCCCTGGATGGAGATGCTATCTTGCCGGTCCTGCAAGAGGCCGTCAACGGCAGCCCGACCAGGAGGGGGCTCTTGGTCTCTGGGTTCTGGTGACCTGAACGGCTTGCAGCAGTGTCGCCGGCAGTTCGGTCTCTGCGGAACCCGAGTAGTTGGGCGACGTCGTGACACGGATTGTGGGCACCCTAGCAGTGCGACAGTGCTGAGGGGAGGTGGTCCTTTTGCCATTTCACGTCCCTTGTTCTGATCACTTTGATCACTGGTGACATGGACGTTCTGATTTCCAGGAGGCGGGTCTGCAGCGTTCTTGGCT